TGCCATTATGTACAGTGAGCAGACAGAGCTACACAGCAAGACATTAAATAATGATAATCTGAAATAGCATTTAAAAGCCAGGTATGTGCCAGGCTGTTTGGGCATATAATCCATGCCTGCTGGTCTAGCACACAGGAGACTAATTGCGATATATTCTTTTTACTCCCCCCCTCAATCCTCCCTACATTCTTCTCACCTCCCCTTCCCTGTGCAGATTGGGTGGCCGAGCTCCTCTTCGTCCTGTCAGTCCGGCCGGGTACCGCGCGGTACAGGAGATTCAGTTACCTGTTTCCGGCCGGACTGAAAGGAAGTGAGCACGCCCGGCAGCCATATAGGCCCTATACCCGGCGTATAAGACAACCCCCGACTTTGGAGAAGATTTTCCAGGGTTAAAAAGTCATCTTAAACGCTAGAAAATACAGTAATACATATGTTTCTGTTAACATTATTGTTTTACTTTATGCTAACATTATGTATTTATACCAATATATGAAAATGCATCTCATTGTCAATATATGTTTGAACTAAAAAAGATATGGTTGGGATTTAGTAACAAAAAGATTTTAAATCTATACAGTATATTTATTTACATTTGATATTTCCCATGCTACAAGGGTTAAATAATTAAGTCCACTTACTGCCATAGATGCTGATGGTGCATTTTACATTCACCGAGGAATTGCTAGTGCACATTGGGCCAGCATGCTGTCTTGGGAATTTCCATTGTAGAGACTCATCAGAATGGATTTCATGCTATAAATCATTTCTTGCACAGTAGAAAGCGTATTCTCGTGATCTGTAAGTGCAGCATTTTACGAAAGTGTACTTATTAAAGCAGATGTCGATCAAAGATAATTATATCTGAGCTTTAAAATATGTATTCTTTTGTTACTTTTAATACAAAGGTGAATAGCTTGTACAGACAGAGGAAATTAAAGTCAATGCTATCAGATACCACATGAAATGTTCATTTATATAATTTATATAAATAGAGCATATTTTTAAAGAAATAGTGTTTACAGCTAAAGTTATAAAATCCAGGAAAAATCATTTAAAAAAAAAAAATGCTGTCTGCTGTTACAACTCAACACAAGTTTATCAGTGTGTAAAAACATTCAAACTTCCCATGCACCGGTGTTCTATCAGATAACTATACTTATCAGAATTCTATATGGACTTCACTTCCGGTGCATGAGATCAGCTGCGCGCATGGGATCGGGGGTTAATCAGGGTTATACACTGGGGATGGGGGGTTTATGGGGGTGGGTGACACACAGGGATGGGGGGTTAATGATGGTGATCCCCTGACTGTCACTCCACAACCCCACATCATCTGTCTGTCACCCCAATAACCCCCCCAAACCCAGTGTGTCACCCATTAACACCTGTCACCCCATTAACCCCCCCAATCCCCAGTGTGTCACACCTTAACACCTGTCACCCCATTAAACCCCCTTCACTAGTGTATAACCCACATTAACCTCCCCATCCCCTGTGTGTCACCCACCCCACCTAAACTACCCATCCACCGTATATAACCAACATTAACCCCCCCTTCCCCTGTGTGTTTCCCCCATCCCATAACCCTGCATCTCCTCTCTTCCCACTGTGTTAGTACACAGTGAAACCTGTTGTATAGAAATCTGATTGATGTACCGCGCGCATGTGCAGTACACCCATCAGATTTCTATATCTGGAGGGTGTGCTGCGCCTCATGCGCGGTACACCCATCAGATTTCTATATCTGGAGGATAACACCTTTAGATTAGGGGACCAGCTGATCAGGCGGGCCTCCGTCAGAATTCTATACCCGGAGATCAGCTAGCATGCATGCGCACAGCTGATCTTGCATCACTTATGGTGACCCGGGTGCACCGGAAGTGACGCCTGTATAGAATTCTGATAAGTATAGTTATTTGATAGAACCCTGCCCCCCGATTTCAAATGGCCAAAAAAGTACTCATTTTATATGGTAGGGGATATTTCATGACATTTTTTGGTTACTTCTAAACCTCATAATTACCATTGAAAGGAACACTGAACACTGTACTCACTATAACAACTTCATCTCAGCTGTCAGCCAGGGATCCACTAAAGGTAGCCTTAGGCAGGAATGTAAACACTGTCTTTTTCTAAGAAAAGGCAGCATTTACAGTTGCACTGCATTTCACAGGGTATTTCAGTCCGGTGCTCAGCATACAGCTTAATTGATAAGCTACCTTAGGCAGCTTGTTTTCCTGGCTCGCATGCAAACTAGGCTGATATTACATTTTATAGTGGGCCCACAACTCCAGGGACATTATTTTGGCCTTGCCTCTCAATTTCCTGATCTCAGACTTTCAATTAGCAGTTCAGGAACGACCAGTTTGGATAGGGCAGAAATTACACATTTTGCACTAATTTCAGCAATAGTAATAGAAACAGAAACAAACCGTATTTCAAACTGGAGAAGTCCCATTGTTTACAGGCCTTTTGGGAGAAATGCAAGAGACTAAACTAAGTTTATGAAACATTCATAAAACTAGGAATTTGCTGACAACTGGAAAGGATTTGAAAATTTGAGGGCACGTTTTGCCAAATTTAGCTGATCTGATTACACCTGACAATTGACTGTCAAAGTAACTTTCATAGTTTTTGTTGGGAATTAAGAGTGAATTCAACATTAATATACATTTTAGGACACAAATTCAATAACTGAATAGGAAAAATCCTCCAAGTTATCGACAGATTCAGTTATTATGATCACTATTATTGGCATTAATATAGCACCCACCCCATCTCAGCACTTTACAATATTAATAAGGCGGTAGATTTAATACATGAGACAATTACAAACTGTTATAGGAACAATCGATTGATAAGGACACTGCTCAAACCAGCTTAGGGTCTAGAGGAGGTGGGGTATAAGACACAATAGGAAGGGCATTGAGGGTCACAGCAGCCAAACATCCAGGAGGACATGTATCAGAACTAGAGGTGAGAGCAAAGTGCTGCCATTTAGGAGAGAACAAGAGACAGGTTGGTGAAATAGTTCAGCCATTTTGACCTAAAATTTGACATTTACATTCCCGATAATTAATACTTGAAAGGGTTACTCCAACCCTTTCCTGCATAAAATGCCATATTGGGCACTACAGATAAGGTCACCCTCCTTGTCACTAGCCCCCTGTTACTACATGGACCTGGTAGTCACTAGCCCCTTGTTACTACATGGACCTGGTAGTCACTAGCCCCCGTAAGTGAATGGTTCTGGTAGTCACTAGCCCCCTGCTGGTGGATGGTAGTCATTAGCCCACTGCGGGTGGATGGTAGTCACTAGCCCCCTGTTGGTGAATGGTAGTCACTAGCTCCCTGCTGGTGGATGGTAGTCACTAGCCCCCTGCTGGTGGATGGTGGTCACTAGCCCCCTGCTGGTGGATGGTAGTCACTAGCCCCCTGCTGGTGGATGGTAGTCACTAGCCCCCTGGTGGTGGATGGTAGTCACTAGCCCCCTGCTGGTGGATGGTAGTCACTAGCCCCCTGCTGGTGGATGGTGGTCACTAGCGTCACTAGCCCCCTGCTGGTGGATGGTGTCACTAGGCCCCCCTGCTGGTGGATGGTGGCCACCACCCCTGCTGGTGGTATCCCTGGTGGTGGATGGTAGTCACTAGCCCCTGCTGGTGGATGGTAGTCACTAGCCCCCCTGCTGGTGGATGGTGGTCACTAGCGTCCATCAGCCCCCTGCTGGTGGATGGTAGTCACAGCCCCCCGCTGGTGGATGGTGGTCACTAGCCCCCTGCTGGTGGATGGTGGTCACTAGCCCCCTTGGTGGATGGTGGTACTAGCCCCCTGCTGGTGGATGGTGGTCACTAGCCCCCTGCTGGTGGTCACTAGCCCCTGGTGGTGGATGGTGGTCATAGCCCCCTGGTGGTGGATGGTGGTCACTAGCCCCCTGGTGGTGGATGGTGTCACTAGCCCCTGGTGGTGGATGGTGTCACTAGCCCCCTGGTGGTGGATGGTGGTCACTAGCCCCTGGTGGTGGATGGTGGTCACTAGCCCCTGGTGGTGGATGGTGGTCACTAGCCCCTGCTGGTGGATGGTGGTCACTAGCCCCCTGGTGGTGGATGGTGGTCACTAGCCCCTGCTGGTGGATGGTGGTCACTAGCCCCCTGCTGGTGGATGGTAGTCACTAGCCCCCTGGTGGTGGATGGTGGTCACTAGCCCCCTGCTGGTGGATGGTGGTCACTAGCCCCCTGCTGGTGGATGGTAGTCACTAGCCCCCTGGTGGTGGATGGTGGTGGATGGTAGTCACTAGCCCCCTGGTGGTGAATGGTAGTCACTAGCCCCCTGGTGGTGGATGGTGGTCACTAGCGCCCTGCTGGTGTATGGTAGTCACTAGCCCCCTGGTGGTGGATGGTAGTCACTAGCCCCCTGGTGGTGAATGGTAGTCACTAGCCCCCTGGTGGTGGATGGTGGTCACTAGCGCCCTGCTGGTGTATGGTAGTCACTAGCCCCCTGGTGGTGGATGGTGGTGGATGGTAGTCACTAGCCCCCTGGTGGTGTATGGTAGTCACTAGCCCCCTGGTGGTGGATGGTGGTGGATGGTAGTCACTAGCCCCCTGATGGTGAATGGTAGTCACTAGCCCCCTG